TGATGAGGTTTCTCCTGGGGGCAGGGAGTCGGTACTAAGATTACTGCTATTCCTTTCAGATGGTTCTGATCCAAAAACCAAGGTCCACATTCAGAGATGAGGAGGCTGATCAGGAAGCTGTGGTCAGGGATCTTGAGTTAAGCCACCACTTGAATGGAGGAGTCTGGAGAATGAGTGTCAACTGGGCAATTTCCAGGGCTCTCTCTGTCACTCCACCCCCAAGAATGTCTCCATTCTCTCAAAGTTCATGTGGATGCAGATGGCTTCCAAATCCACACACTGGACTCCAAATTTCCCCATTAGAAACATTCTCCTGGAAGTCCTTCCCTTGCCAAGAAACTCAACATGTCAAAAGATGGAATTCAACATTCTTTTCAGCACTCTTCACAAATCCCTCCATCTCCATGAGTGCCACAATTACTCTCCTAGACAACCAGGGAAGACATCTCCTGGGCCACATGGAATCTTACCTCCCTGTGGTCCTTAAATACACCACAAGGAGCCCTGCTCATTTCATTCTCCAAAAGGCACTTTGATCCTCAGCCTCTGCTCTTCACTCCCATTGACACCATGCTAGGGTAAGACCCTCATGGCTTCAAACTGAAATTATTTCAAATCTTTAACAAGCCTCTTGACCTGCAGGAACTAGAATGGTTACCCTTAAAGAGCACTTGCTTTGGGCCTGTGCCAAATGCTTGACATGAAAGAGCTCATTTAGCTGGGTGCAGTGGCTCATGCCTGTAATCCCAGCATTTTGGGAGGCCAAGGCAGGTGGATCATGAGGTCAGGAGTTTGAGACCAGCCTGGTCAACATAGTGAAACCCCATCTCTACTAAAAATACAAGAAAAAAAAAAAAAAAAAGGTAGCCAGGTGTGGTGGCGGGCGCCTGTAGTCCCAGCTACTTGGGAGGCTGAGACAAAAGAATCGTTTGAACCCAGGAGGCAGAGGTTGCAGTGAGCTGAGATCGTACCACTGCACTCCAGCCTGGGTGACAGAGTGAGACTCCATCTCAAAAAAAAAAAAAAAAAAAAAAAGAGCTCATTTAATCTCAACAACTCTGTTATGGTCATCTCCAATTTATAAATAAGGCAACTGAAGCCCTGTAAGGTGGAGTAATTTGTCCATATCACAAAGACAGTAAGTGGCAGTGCTCAGCCTCAGTAGAGAACTGTGTGAAACCAAAACTATATCAACTCTCCCAGGTGAGGGGGTTGGGACAAGGACTAGAAATAGGGGGCACTGCTGAAATGTGGGTATCAGAGGGCCAGGTAGGGACTAGAGCTTCCAGTGCAGGCAAATAATCAGCAACCTGGACACCTATAGGCATTGAAGAAGGTAGCAAACAGGGAGCAAGTCAGTGAGGAAGCAGAGAGAGCAGCTGGGGGACAAATGCTGTCCCTGGTGAGAAAGGAGGGAGCCAGACGCCATCTGACATTAGCTATCTGCAAAGGCATTGGGAGTAGGAAGCAATCCTTGGCAAGAGCCATCCACCGCCTCACACTTGGGCTCCCAGTCCAGACTGGGCATGGCTGTCTGCAAATACTGCTGAAAACTGTTATAATGAAGCCAGGGAAGGCCCAGGAGCTCCCAGGCCCCAGGATGGGATAATAGACTGGTACAGGCCAGCAAGTTGTCAATCTGGAGGTTGACATGGACACTGTCAGAGTCAAGAGCCAGCAGGATGCTAGCCAATAGGTAGCATAGTAAGGGGACAAGATTTCCATTCCTGAATTGTCTATACTCACATTCTCTCTCTCTTTTTTTTTTCTTTTTGAGATAGAATCGTGCTCTGTCTTCCAGGTTGGAGTGCAGTGGCGTGATCTCACTCACTGCAACTTTGCCTCCTAGGTTCAAGCAATTCTTCTGCCTCAGCCTCCCAAGTAGCTGGGATTACAGGCATGCACCACCATGCTTGGCTGATTTTTGTATTTTTAGTAGAGATGGGGTTTCACCATGTTGGCCAGGCTGGTCTTGAACTTCTGACCTCAAGTGATCCACCCACCTCAGCCTCCCAAAGTGCTGGGATTACAGGTGTGAGCCACTGTGCCCAGCTTACTGACATCCTCTTTTAAGCCCACTCCCCAGTGTTAACCCATTCTAGCCTGCTTCGTACGCATCAATGAGCATGTGGGGTTTTTTTGTTTCCTCTACTCAAACCCAGCTTGTTCCTTTTCATACAAACTGCCCTCCTGTACCATCTTAAATTTATCACCAATCAAAAGGATTCCATTTGTGTCAGGCTAACTTCCAAACTTCCTAAGGTCACAGAGCATTCTGGAGTTAGTAAGGCTTGGAAAGCATCTGGCCCAAGTTCCTCATACTTGATATAAGCTCAAAGACACTAGGACTTAACCACAGCCCGAAAGCAAGATGGCTGACTACAAGTCCACACCTGACTCCTGTTGCAACATACTGCCTTTTGCCCTCACCTAATGCACCTAGAATTGCTCTCTTTTCCTCCTTTCTCATCACAATTCCAAGTGACTTACTCAGCACCTGGCACATAGATAATGCTGAATGAATGTATGCTTATTCGGATTCGATGATCTCAATTTACAAAGATGAACTCACTGTAAGGTGTGAATGACTGATAGCTATCCCTTAATTCTTCCGAGTATAGTATTTGCATTTTAAAACAATCTGGTGATGGTTTGGTGAAAAAGATTTGGTGAAGTTTCTTTTCACCACATTAGTTGGTAGAAATTTGTAAGACACAAACGTATTTTGGGACACGAGAGTGTTTCCAAAAGTGCCTCAAATCCACACACAGGGCCGGGCAGGGTGGTTCACACCTGTAATCCCAGCACTTTGCCAGGCCGAGGCAGGTGAATCACTTGAGCCTACAAGTTCAACACCAGCCTGGGCAACATGGAGAAACTCTGTCTCCACAAAAAATATAAAAATTAGCCAAGTGTGGTGGCGTGCACCTCAGCTACTTGGGAGGCTGAGGTGGGAGGACAGATTGAGCCTGGGAGGTCGAGGCTGCAGCGAGCAATGATTGCATCACTGTACTCCAGGCTGGGCAACAGAGTGAGACCCTGTCAAAAAAACAAAAGAAAAGAAAAGAAAAAACAAATCCACACAAGGTACTGGTAGCACAGGCGTGCACCTGGTAGGCATATTTGTGTTCTGCGTCAATGCCATACTGTAACCACTAGAGGGAGCTCCAGGCTCCCTCTCCACCACCTCCATTTACTGCCAGAAGATGGGACAGCCGGTTTGTAAGGTCATTTGACTGCACATAAGGCCTTTCTCTTTGCATCATCCCTTAGGATTCTCTTTTCTCCAAACGTTCTCTAGCTTGGGAGCTGGGTCTTCCCAGTTAGGCTTGGAGAGGCTGGATGAGGTTAGCCTTAGAATAAAATAACTTTGCCTTCTCTCCTCAACCCCACCTTTCCAGTGGGTTAGGAATCAGGGCTGGACTCAGGGATGCAGGACCAAGAAGCTACTCTGTTGACTTTCAGGACTGTGGGCTGCTCGGGCCTGCTGTCAGTCTAAGGATAAAGAAGCCCTCACAGGGACCAACATCACCAGAAAGGGGTTTGTGCTCAAACCCTAGCCTGGCCTCATCCGCCAGCATGTGACCCGGCACCTGTTATGGGTGGCTGGGCAGGAAGAAAGTCAGCTTCCAGGATGCTAGGTCTGGCCATTTCCATCCTACATATCATATCTGTCTTATCACAACACACCACTCTCGCTGCCCCAGAGGGATCTGTGTACCCTACTGCCTGTCTTCTCTGGTCCCAAGGGAGTGGTCCTCCATTCAATTTCTCCCTCCCTTTCCTTCAAGAAAGCAAGCTCCCGTCCCCTACAGCAGCAGCTCTCAGATGCGGTCCTTGCACTAGCTGCATCAGCATGACCTAAGAACCTGTCAGAAACGCGAACCTTCAGACCCTATCTCAGACCTGCAAGCGGGAACCCTACATTCTACAACTCCGGGCTGGGGCCCAGCAACCTACCTTTTTACTCCAAGTGATTCTGATGCAGCTAAAGCGTGAAAGCCACTGCCCTACAGAGTGGAGAGGTGCTGTCTCACCCTAAACTAACTGTGCCTGATCTCAAAGTCAGCATTTGCCAACTCCCAGAATACTTGGGCTGTGCAAAGTCGTCTCTGGAGAGGCCAAAATAATCTAATGATAATCAAATAGCAGCTAACATCTAACAGTCTATTCCATGCCACCAGGCATGGTACACAGCACTTCATACACTTCTTCCTCACAATAATCCTATGAGGCAGGTGCTATTATCCACCCCATTCTACAGTTCATTAGGGTTGAGAGAGAGTGAATAACTCGACCAAAGTCGCACAGCCGACAGGTGGTGGGGGCAGGGTGTGCACAGAGATCGGTCGGGTTCTGAAGTCCCAATTCTAAAACTCAATACCTCAGGTTTCCCGAGTGATGGGTTAAGGTGGGGAGATGGGCTTCATGTGGCTTCTTTGATCTCCCTTTGTTCCTAGTTTACACTGGGCCTTTGAACTACTCTCCTGATCCTGCTCCTGCAGCTGGCTGGTGATCATCTCAGGCCTGAGCCCTGCCCACCTCTGCTTTTCCGGGAGCAAGGTCATCGAGTCATCCACGCTTCTCAGTCTCCCTGGCTGCACCTCCAGCCCAGCCTGGACAGCTCACAGTGAATCTCTAGGAAGCAGGGATGAGCTCTAAGAAGCCCAACCTCTAGCCCATCCCACTGCTTATCCCCTATGCCCTAAGCTATTTCAGTCTGCTTGAGTGCAGTCTGCAGAGTACTGGCTCTTGTCACAGGATGACCTGCTCAGTCAAAGCTAACATAAAGTGGTGGTTATTGCGGTGCCTTCACCCGCAGCACATGACTGTCAGTTTGAAGCTTTGACCACTACCCATCCAAAGGAGCTGACTGTCCCAGGGGTCCCTAAGAGAACCCAGAGTTATCTGATGAACTCACACCCTTCTGAGCAAAAACACCAGAGCCTCCTCCCGCCCTTCCCACGTGGCTCTGAACATCTTCCCCAGCCTCAGCGCACCTGGTTTGCTTTCGTGTTGCGGGGTTTCCTGAGGGCTCACAGGGCTACTGCTTGGGGTTTCCCTGTAGGAAGACGAGGCCCGGAGAGTCACCGCTCCCTTCCCAGTGCAGATTTTTGTAGGATCCATGTCTGAAAAGAAAAGGTCCAAAATTGAAGACTGAATCCAAGACTCCTGAAGGATTAAAGGACAGTTGGTTAGCAAATTGTTACAGCCGGGGAATGAGATGAACCTGGTTACAGCCACGCGAAGTCTTTGAACACTTGTGGTCAATGAAATTAATCTGTGGGTGGTGGAGAGGGGCAAGTTTTCAGAGGTTTACTGTGCATCAGGAAGTTAGGGGAACATGGCGGCAATAGTGAGTTCTGAGTAAATGGATGAGTTATAATATCAGCTGAAAACATTTCAAAATGAAAGCAGGTTTATTCCTTTTATTAGATGAAGTTTAGGTTGGTGAGCAGACTTCTGACCAGTTAGTAAGGCATAGTTCAAGAAAGAGTTTATGAAAGATGTTTCAAGCTTCCAGACCATTCTTCTCATCGAAGACCAAGTTGGCAACTAAGGAAGTTGCGGGGGGGCGGGGGCAGTTCCATGGAGAACAACTACTCCTTGCAGTTTTCCAGTGGGAAAAGGAAAAGCAAATCTCCTTGGATTAGCAAGTCAAGACTCCCAAAATGCTGAGACAGAAGGATATGCTACCTGGCAAGAAAGCTCATGAGTGACAGCCTCACTTTTCAAACATAACAAAGAAAACGCACAGCAACAAAAACGACCTGGAAGGCTAAATCCTTCAATGAGCAGTGTCCACCGAGCCTCAGCTGTCTTCACAGGGTCCTGGTGTCTCCTACAGTTTCACTAGGGCCTAATAACAGACACAGGTCAACTTCGAGAGTTTCCTTGAGAAAGATTTCAAAATACGCTTCAAAAGATCTGAATGCCATCCTGCAGGAAATCAGTCACGGAGGCAGGGAACCGGGGCAGACCACAGTTCTGGGAGGCACACGCACCGAGTGTTTCTTTTTGTGCAGCTGAGCTATGCAGAACACCACAGTTTTGTTTTGTTTTGTTTTCAGACTGCTCACAGCCTAGATCCCTGACCTAAAATTGTCACAATTAGGATTACAGGTTGATGTTCAGGGTGTGCGTTTGGGCAGGATGCGAGTTCAGACACCCGACTCATCCCCATTCCTGTCCGAGGGCAGAGAGAAGCAAAGCCTCTTCCCTCCTTGCTTTCCACACCAGCAGCCCACTTCCAACAACTCAGGGAGAATGATCATTAACGTTAGACAAGAGAATGGACCTGCCTCGTCAGCACCTCTTGTATTGAACGCAATGCACAAAACGCACAATGTGTGGCAGGGCAAGTGTCAGCCTTGGAGAGCATCTGACTTATCCAACTCTATCAAGAGGCTAAGTGACTGATGTCACCAAACTATTGGGAAAACTGGTTCATAGTCACTTCAAAAGGATGAGGGGCACACTGATGGATGCAGCCCATCCATAGGTTCCTGGACACACAGCCCAGTTACTTCTGAAAGCACCATTGGATAAAGTACTGTGTAGGCCTCATGTGTCCCACTTTGTACAGAAGGAAGCGATGAGCCGGAGCTGACATCTGAACCGTACTCCCCCACCCCCTGGAGGGGAGAGGCAGGAAGGGGCTGCAGGTAAAATTGGGGAAGGCATAGGGGATGCTCTGGGATGGCCCGGTGAGCATCAGAGGCAAGTCTAGGTTGGGCACCTAAGGCAGCTGCTTCAAATTCAGTCGTTCAGAGGTTCTCTGTGACACCAGGTTAATTCTCAGGGAGACTGCAGTTTTTGCTAAAGTACTGGGAGTTGGAAACCTCTAGGGAGAGCCTAGGATGTCCATGCACCTCAGACTCGTCCCAAAGGGAAAGCTGAGCCTCCAGACTGACCCTTCTCCTAAAGAAAAGAGGGGCGAGGCCTCTGTCCTCAGTTCTTCCCCACATTCGCTGGCTCCCAGGAAAATGCACACAGACATTCACGTACGCAGAGGAAGTAAGGAAGCAAGCTGAGGAAGTGAGATGGAATGCCTACTAAACATGCAACGATTCAGCTCAAAGTGCGTGTTAGAAGAAAAGAAGAAAGGAAAACCATGCCATGATCCGCTCACAATTACAGAAAATAAACCGACCCAAGGAGATACCTGGAGGGAGAACTAGGCCTGGGGCGTTTTTCACTGTCTTCACAGGAATGATTTTAACAGCAGAAATAGAGCGTGCACGTAAAGGGTCGGCAGTTGCTGAAAACACAAAAGGGTAAATGGTGCATCCAGAAAGAACATTTGGGAAACACTCAGGCAGTTGAGGAACTGGGCAGGGACAATAGGAGGAAGTCGCCCACACAACAAGAACAATACAAAGGGCAGTAGATGCAGTAATTAAAAATAACCTGCTTTCTCTCTTTAGAGTTCTAGGCCAAGACAACAGACCCCTCCCCTCCAACCATCACCCAAATACAGCTGGTCAGTGTTGATCGGTGCCTCCTGCCACACCAGGAGCTTGCCAAGGCTCTGGACAAAGATTTACGGAGGCACACAGATGGCCTGGCAAACAGAGGAAGGGGAGAGCACTCAGGGTCCACAGGGCCTCCTGGGAGCATGCTGGGGAGGGGGTTCCGAGGAGGAGGGCGGTGGCCCATGGGCTGCAGATGAGTGCAAGAACGAAGGAACAAGATCGTGAGTTGCCTGGTCCCTTCAGCCATCAGAGCTACTTCCGCCATAGCATAACTTCTGGGGTCTTGTGCCTGCTCCGACAATTGTAGCCCTCTGGCCCCAAGCAAATCAGAACCTCCATCTGTTAAACAGCAGATGGCCTTGCTCAAACCCACCCTTTCCTGGTCAGGAGGTGCCAAGTGTCCAAGTGCATATGTAGTCTCTGGGGCAGCACCCAAGTGCACAGCCCAGGACCCCGATGCCCGGCTGAGCTAAGGCAGAGCAGGGATGCCTGCCTGGGACACGGTGAAGGCCACCGCTCAAACATCCTGGGTGCTCAAACTTATCTATCGGCAGGGTCTCTGGGCTCCCTGCCTGCCCAGATTCTGTAATCTCATGGTAGGCACGTCCCCTAACTCTCCTTACACTGAGCCTGTTGTGAGGCCTCCCCTCATCCTCTCCTTTAAGGGCAGCGCATAAAGAGGGATGGGAGCTCTGTGTGAAGGTGCCAGAGTCAACTGTGGCCGCATATCTACAGAAACACAGCGGGTGGGGCTGTCTGGGAACAAGACCGCCACTGCAGAGTCAGCATTGGTGAGCCTGTCAAGGCAACAGAAGGGAGGCATGTCGGCCAGGGACAGTGCGCCTTCCAGTCCATCCTGCTGTCAGCTCACCTCCTGAGGCATGAGGCAGTCACACGGCGCCTGGTCATTAATGACTAGGTTGCTAACGATGCTACTGCATGGATTAAGACACACATGTGCTCTCACAGCATCTTCCTGTCTGCTCCACCTGGGAGATGGGCTTGGGGGAGACTTTTGTAACCATTTTCAGAGGAAGAAGCAAGAGGCTCAGCGAACTGCTCAGGCTCATTCAGTTCTCAAGCAGAGAGGCTGAGACTGGAGTTCGGCTATCCCAGCTCTGGTTCAGTGACCTCAGGCCACTCTGATGCCCTTCAGGTCACCCCTGCCTGCTTGTTTGCAGACAAAGGTGAGTCTCACCAAGGAGAGAATGGGACCCACTCCACCTGCCACCCTCCCCCACATGCCTTAAGTCTCTTGTATAAATGAGTGCACATGGATGGGGTCGATGACTCCACAAGTTTTAAACTAATAGGGCCCCCACCCCTCTCCATGCTCCTCACTGGATGCTAAACACATGCCTGCAGCCACTCCACAGGCACTGCCCCTCAGTTCCCTAAGTGCAACTTGGTCGAGACTGTCCAGGGCCCCACACCATGGGTGCAAACGGGCGACCAGGCAGGGAGGCAAGAACAGGAGCATGGCAGGTCCCCTCCGGCCACCAAGGAACCCACCCCCACACCACCTGGGCCCTGTACCCCAGCCCCTCCTAGTCTCTGGACATACCCTCTACGGCTGGTTCCTCTTAGTTCACACCTTGCCTTGTCTTAAAAGAAACACTCTGTTGACCCAGATGGAAATTACACAGATCAAAATGCCAAATTGTTTGAAATTATTCTTTGAGATGCATCTTGACTTAAATGCCCAATGAGAGTATTCTGGCCCTTCTTCTTGTATACCATAAAATTTAGCTGGATGAGCATTCATTCCAATTCTGAATTTGAAGCAGAAATAAATATGGCAGAGCATAAATTCCCTCATCTTGTAGATAAGGGAACCCACACCCACAAAGATAAAGGGCCTCTCAAGATGTCCTGTTCATGGTGGCAGAGCTGGGACTTGAACCCATGCCTTGTCATTCCAGCTTGAGGGTCCATCACACTACTCAGTAAAAGTGGCACCGCGAGCCCCGTAGCCAGGCTATCTGCACAGCCACACTGAGGTCAGGATGAAAGTCTCCAGGCCAAGCAGGACCTCAAAGGTCATTCATCACATCCATCATTCATTTCACATTTAAATCTTTTATCCTAAAATTTTTAAAAACTGAAACTATGAGAGGATGTGCATTAAATTAATGCCACCGAAATAATTTATTTTAATGATTTAGGCTCTTACCTTAGGGTCAGGACTGTGAACACATCACTGTTTATTATAGGTGAAGGTGAAAGGCTGAGCAAGGGATATTTCAGGCTGATAAATGCCATCTGTACCAGGCATGAAGTATGCATTGGTCCATGTGCCTGATCTGTCATTCACAGCATCTTTGTGTGCTAGGGATAGTTTTTAATACCTCACAGTGGGAAAATGGCAGCCTCAGACTCCCGAAATGCAAGAACAGGCTCCAGGTCTCAGCAAATCAGTGTAGGGAACAGGTCCCCAGTTTAGGGCTTGGTTAGGCCAATGGTGTTTGCACCAGGCAGATGGGATAGCCCCGGCCTGACATACTCCACACCTTTAGAAATGCTTTCCAGTACCAATCCAGACTTCTCTCCAAGAACCTTACCTTTGTCTTGACCATTGCTGCCAGGTGCCAAGCCATTCACCACAGCTTTGGAACCACCATCACATTCTGCAAGAAAGAAAGAGAGCATGAAGTTTGTGAGTAAACTGCCCCAGCACTTACTGAGTCCTGCATGGCAGAAGGTGCTGGGGTCAGAGTCAGGAGGAAGCAGAGGGGTCCTGCCCAGATACCTTCAGACCTCTAGGCCTCGGTTCCTAAGAGGCCCTCTGCCGAGAATGCCTCATCCTCCCTTCTCACCTGATGGAAATTCCACGCATCCCTGGGGCTCCCCTCAGATGTCATGTCCTCTGGGTTGGCTGAGACTTTCCTGAGTTCTGCTCAGTCACAGAAGCTGAGACCATCCCTGCTCACCTGCAGCCTAAGGCCCACCCAGGTCCCCATCCCAAAATAGATAGAGGCAGGCCGAGGAAGGCAGGCCGGCAGGCCCTGTCGCCCTAGGACATGTGTGCTTGGAGGAACCCCTCCAAGCCCAGAGTTAACCAAGCTACAAACATAATCACGACTAGCTATGGGTTTTTAAACACTGACTTGCCCAGGTCTGAGGATCCATGCTTAGCACTGCATAATTAGCATCTCATTTTATCCTTAAGACCCAGACCTCCAGAACTAGGAGTTAGGAATGCCTATTTTATAGATAAGAAAATTGAGGCAGAGAAGATTCCAGGCCTGCCCAAGATCACTAAGCTGAAATTTGAACTCTGGTCTGCCCATCTCACAGCTCATCTTCTTCCTCCCCAAATGGGATAAACATTTGGGTTTCCTGATATATACATACATACATACATATGTATACACATATATTCTATTTCTCCAAATGCTGGGACTGAAGCTTAGTCCCACACCCCTGTAATTCATTAGGCTGAGACCTAAGTCACCTTACCTAGGCCCTTAACAATCAGCCTCCCAAAATGGGGGTCGCCTGCTATAAGCCACACTGACAGGCCAGTCTGGATGCTGCCAGTGGCCATACACGAGCAGGGCCACTGCCCCACCCGGTGCCTGGACTTCCCCATGCTGGCCTCACAGGCTGTGGCCTGTTAATTGCCCACACCCACCTATAGGTGAAGGCTAATTCTTCTAGATGTCAGAGTCTTCCTTGAGCTGTGATTTCTGAGATGGGTGGAAGAAGGGTGCTGGTGAGAAGGCCAGAAATCCAAGCACCTGCTCTAGTTCCTTCTGTGATTGTAGGCCTTGCTCCAGGCCTCCCCAGGCTAGTGTGGGGCAGCCTCTGAGCTACCAGCAGGCCCAGCCCCATGTTCTTCCTTTCTTTGAATTACATGTAACAACCCAACTTGAAATTTTGGAAAGGTATTTAAAAATTAGTAACTCCGTCTCCCGAAACTCAAACCTCTGCAGCACAATGTTGGTGTCCAGCTTCCTGAGTTTGATTCAGCCACAGCACACACTAGGTGAGTGATCCCAGCCATATTATTAACCCCTCAGGGCCTCAGTTTTCCCATCTGTGTAATGAGGGTGGCAAACCACGCCCCACCTGTGAGGGTTTTCCAGGAGAATGTAACAAGATCACACAGGTAAAGCACTTCACCTGGTGACTGGCAGCCCAGCCCAAACTTGGAATAAAAAGAATCCACCATTTTTACACTGCTCTTTCCACTAGCAATTCAAACAAATATTTCCCATGTAGCTACTTTTCTCCTAATGACCATTTTAATAGCGGCGTAATATTCCATCAAGTAAATACACATAACGTACTTACTCGTACCCCCCACTTCATGTGGGTGATATTTTTGTTTCCTTGGAATTAAGATAGAAATTCCCAAGAGTGGGATCATCGGGTCAAAGGCTCCAGAGTTTCTGAACTCTTCCTAGGCAATGCCTCCTTCCAATCCCCCACGTTGAGAGAGAGATTCTGGGGAGAAGTCTCCTGGGCTTTTCCACACCCATACCCTTCTTCCAGGCCTCTCCCTTCCTCCTTCTCTGGCCCTTAATGCCAAGAGGAGTAAACCAAAGTTAGGCCAGTTCTGCCACTGGACGAGAAAGTAGCTTTAGGCTACAGAGAAAAAGTTTAAAACAAAATAAAGCCAAACACCATGGCCTATTTCAAATGACAACAAAAGCAAAAAGCCAAAGAGACAAAAATGAGTTATGAAGCAGGAGCTACTGGCAGTACCTGAGCCTGCTTAGAGCGGAAAAGGTGCACGGCCTCTTCGCACACAGCAAAAGCACTCAAGGAATTGCTAAGAAGCCAAGTCCCCGGCTTTGCAGGGAGGAACTCTGAACTCATAACAGTAAGAGCCCAAAGATGAAGCCCTTGCCATGCCTTGGACACAGTGCTTTAAAAGCACTGCCTCAGGCCAGGCACGGTGGCGGAGAGGGGCGGATCACTTGAGGTCAGGAGTTTGAGACCAGCCTGGTCAACACGGTGAAACCCCGTCTCTATTAAAAATACAAAAAAATTAGCCAGGCGTGGTGGTGGGCACCTGTAATCCCAGCTACTCAGGAGGCTGAAGCAGGAAAATCATTTGAACTCAGGAGGCAGAGACTGAAGTGAGCCAAGATCATGCCACTGCACTCCAGCCTGGGTGACAGAGCAAGACTCGTCTCAAAAAAAATAAATAAAAGCATTGCCTCACTTAATCCTCACTAAATCCCAATGAACTAGGGCTTTTATTATGTCCATTTTGCAGAGGAAAATGCAGAGAAGGGTCCACCACGGGCCCAAGACTATGCAGCCAGTAAGCAAAGAGGTCAGGGTGTGGGCCTCAGCTATTCCACCCAGAGCCTTCCTAGGTCTTAACTACATACTGTCCTGCTCAGAACTTGGCTAAAAGGATATTGTATGCAAATAAATGGAAAAGGATGATTTTTAATCCACAAAGGTCACTGACAACACTCACGAAATACTGCAGGATTGGGAGACCCCTGAATGAGATATCCACATGGTCATATTCCCACCCCACAGCCTGCCCCACCTGCAGGTCTCAGGAGGCTCCAGGGCATGCTCAGTAGCCGAGGTGGGGCTTAATCTCCAGATGGAAACTTCTCTGCTCCAGTTCTGGGTTGGAAAGCTGACAGCTCTTGGCTGCATGATGAGCAGGGATCTGTTCCCATCTCTGTCTTCCCTAACCCACGTTTTCTACCTCAGCTCAAAACTAAAAATACTCAAAACTGATTATTTCTTTAGGTCTTGACTTTTACTACCAAAGGCAAAGCAAAAGAGAGAGCAGACTGCTCTACTAGCCTGGATGAAGGAAGCATTAGATTAGTTCACATCCTGGGGCAATTATGGCCACTCAGTTTACTTTTGCTGCAGTCACTCAGATTAAGAAATGCCATGGAGGTGTACACATATGTCAAATTTTATCAAATTGTATACTTAAAATATCTGTGGTTTATAGTATGCCAGTTACATCTCAATAAAGAGAGGGCTAATGTGCATGTAAAGTGTATAGCACAGTTCTTTGGCAATAGTAGTAGGCACTCAAAAAATCATTAACCATGAAGGTGATGATAGTCATGATGACAACTTATGACAAAGCTTTGGCATTCACCCAGTTTGCAAAAAATAAAAAATATAATGCCAGAGTGGGGCCTTCGGGGTGCGTGGGAAATCTGGGTAAATGGCCCAGTCTGGTAGATGAGAGAAAGATGAGTTTAAAATGACTTACCAGAGCTCATGGTGGTGGCAGGACAAGTCGTCTGCAACTGGGGCTCTGAACTGCTCTGTAGAAAAACAAACACCACACAATGCAATTGATGAATGGCAGGTTCGCGATAAATCCCAATGGTTAGTATTAAAAATGCAAACACTGTAACCCTTGATAAAACAGAGCTGAACCAGGAGTCACCTGGCCAGGCTTCTGGTTCATGGTCACCCACATATTACTGTGACCTTGGGCACATCACTCAACCTCACTGGTTTCAGTTTTGTTGCCCATACTTGATGCTAATGTTATCCGAGATCCCTTTCAGCTCTAACATTCTATAAAAAAACTTCAAGCTACATGAGTGCACGTGGTTTAAAGAGAGGGAAAGGGAAAAAACACATTTTAGGAGAAAGAGGTAAAATCACGACACAAACTGATTTGAGAACTTACTGATCATACTGAATGCTTATACATAGCTTACTATGCACAAGGAAATATTCTAAATGCTTTAAATATATTAATGCATTTGACCTCACAACCCTAGGAGGTAAGCACTAATATTATGTTAGTTTACACAGATGAGGAAACCGAGACACAGACAGGTGAAGCTGTGTGCTTGCCGCAGTGGAGGAGCTGATACTGGAACCCAGACAGCCTGACTTTCTGGCCCACGTTCCTATGCACTGTGCTCTACCACCTGGAGGTGGGAACCAATGCCTGATGTTCAAATAGATAACCCCTTAATTTAGTAGGGTCTCAAAGAAAGCTTAAATTGTACTGACAATGCCCTAATATATATCTAGATTTTTTACTGAGTTATAGTTTGCATACAACCGAATATATCCATTTTAATTTTACAATTCGATGAGTTTTGACAAATATATACATCCTATAACCACCACTGCAATCACAATATACAGCCTTTCCACCACCCCAAAAAGTTCCCATGTGTATCTCTACAGCCAAGTACCATCTCGGGTCCCTGTTAACAACTGATCTGCTTTCTGTTACTATTGTTTTACCTTTTCCAGGATTTTATATAAATGGTATCATAGTATAGGTAATTCTTTGCGTCTGGCTTCTCTTGTTTAGCATAACACTTCTGAAAAGCGACTGGCTAGATATGGCTGGGTCAGTTTCTGGACTCTTCTATTTCAGTGAGCTGTCTTTATCTAATAACTCACTGTCTTGATTACTATAGTTTTACATAGCCTTGAAATCAGGCAATGTGAGTGATAGAGTTTGGATATTTGTCCCTGCCCAAATCTCATGTTAAAATGTAATCCCCGATGTTGGAGGTGGGCCTGGTGGGAGGTGTTTGAATCATGGGGGTGGATCCCTCATGGCCTGGTGCTATCTTTGCAATAGCGAGTTCTCACAAGACCTGGTCATTTAAAAGTATGTGGCACCTCCCCCACCCTTACTTATGCTCTTGTCGTGTGACACTCCTGCTCCCCCTTTGCCTTGCACCATGATGGGAAGCTTCCTGAGGCTTCCCAGAAGCCGAGCAGATGCCAGCACCATGCTTCCCGTACAGCTAGCTTACAGAACTGTGAGCCAATTAAACCTCTTTTCTTTATAAATGACCCAGTATCTGGTATTTCTTTACAGCTGTGCAAGAATGGCCTAATACAGTGAGTCTTCCAACTTGAGTTTTTTTTCCAAAATCATTTTGGCTATTTCAGGTCCTTTGCATTTTCATATAAAGTTTAAAACCACCTTATCAATTTCTACCAAAAAAAGTCTGTTCAGATTTTAACTGGAATCGTGTTGAATCTGTGAAAAACTAACATTTTTAACAATATCGAGTCTTCCAGTTCATGAGTATGACCTATCTCTCACTTTATCCAGGTCTTCTTTAATTTCTCTTGGTAATGTTTTATAGTTTTTTCAAAGTACAAGTCTTGTACATACTTCAACTAATAAAGTCTTACTGAACACATCTGAAGGTCACACAATCTGAAAAACAAGTCCTTGGGATATGCAGAACCTTGATACTTCAAGTGTGGTCCACAGGCCAGCAGCATTCGCATTAGCTGGGAGCTTACTGAAAATGCAGAAGCGGCCAGGCGTGGTGAGTCATGCCTATAATTCCAGCACTTTGGAAGGCCAAGTTGGGCAGTTCACCTGAGGTCAGGAGTTCGAGACCACCCTGGGCAACATGGTGAAACCCTGTCTCTACTAAAATACAAAATCAGCTGCGTGTGGTGGTGGGTGCCTGTAATCCTAGCTACTCGGGAGGCTGAGGCTGGAGAATTGCTTGAAACTGGGAGGCGGAAGTTGCAGTGAGCCTAGTTCGTGTGTGCCACTGCACTCCAGCCTGAGTGACAGAGTGAGACTCCATCTCCAAAAAAAAAAAAAAGTAGAGAATATGCAGAAGCTCAGACTCCATCCTGTACCTACTGAATCAGAATGGGCATTTTAACAAAATTCCAGGTGCTCTCTTTGCATTTTAAGGTGTGAGAAGCAATGATGCAGAGGAAAGCTCCCGTTCACAAATTCTGTAATAGGGATATGAAGATACGGTATGAAGGTCTGCAAAAGGAGATATGCTTTAGCTTCTTTTTTAAAAAAAGCTGAAGTTGGACACTGATTTCCTTTCTGGATGGTTGCTTTGCTTACTGTCCTTGTAATTAACAGAGTAGAATGCTAGGGATGAAAAGGAAATCATCCTAAGTCCATCTCTGCAGCCCAAATCAGCAGTAACTTTGCCTCTGTCACTGTCAAATACATCTGAGACTATCTATGACCTTCAGTAGCTGTCTACACAGCCAGTTTTCTAAGCTGTGGAAACATCTGTTCTTTCAATTGAGAAACACACAACCTGCTGTTATCTGTATGTCCTCATGTTTTCCAATCCTAATTTTTTGATACCTTAGTTTGTCTCCCAGGATCAAAAGGGTTGTTGTGATACCATCCAAATGCTTTTATTTTATAAATAATTTTCATGAGCAATTGTATTATGTTAAGGTTTTTATTCCTTATTTTTTTCTTTTCTTTTCTTTTCTTTCTTTTTTTTTTTTTTTTGAGACAGGATCTTGCACTATCACCCAGGCTGGAGTGCACTGGTGTGATCATGGTTCACTACAGCCTCAACCTCCTGGGCTCAAGCAGACCTCCCACCTCAGCCTCCCAAGTAGCTGGGACTAGTTGTGCACCACCACACGTGGCTAATTTTTAAAATTTTTATTTTTTGGAGATGGGGTCTCTCTATTGCCCAGGCTGGCCTCAACTCCTGACCTCAAGCGATCCTCCTGCCTCAGTCTCTAAAAGTGCTGGGATTACAGGTGTGAGCCACTGCACCTGGCCTTTCCTCAATTTTTAAAGCAGTATTGAAGAAATCTTCTTGATTCAACTGTGAAGCTATCTTAACTGAAACTATTTTCATTCTTTTAGGAGTCCTTTCTAGCCTCTAGATACATAAATAGCATGTACACTGCTGTAAACATGCTATCTGGACAGCTTTGTGTTCTAATTTTTAAATCAAATATTTCATGAACATTTTTCTAGGATTCTAGTCAGCATATCCATCATTTTAATGGCTGTATTTCATTGTAATAACACTCCATAATCCATTTACCAATTTCCTTTGTATAGCTTAATTCATCTTAATTTAAAAAACAAGTACAAAGCACACAGCATTCTTAGGCTGCAGAAGGAATGAATGGAGATGTCTTACGAACCAAACAAAAAGGGATACCTCAACTCATACATGATGAGTAATCACTGTCATATGCAGGTAGCCCTTTGCACATTTCACATTTCTCAATATAGAAACTACTAACTTCTAAGTGTCAGCCCCTCTTACTTACAAACTGACCTAAAATAGACATGGTCAGAGATAATCTTCAAAATATTTAACCATCATTTTGCCACAAATATCTACCAACTGGAGCAGACACCAGTTGTAGCACTCTCTGGGAGGCCCCTCCCTGTGCCTGCTATTAACCATTTAATGGCTGGATGGTTAGAGGGTAGAAGGCGAATGGATCCTGGGTGTTAACAGACTACTTTGATATTTTAAGACCTAGTATGATGATAGTACGTGACAATGACAATGCACAGGTGAGTACCAGCTCTTGCACACGAGGACTTTTTGAGTAGCAGGTTCTGTTGTGTGTTCACTCTGGCGATTAAATCTCCAGCAGTTGATACTAACAAACAAGGACATTTTAAAATAAAATTAAAAGTGCTGAGGATGAACGGGCTGATTGAAGAAAAGGAACTGCAGCAATGGCAGCAGTGCCAAGGACAGTGCCCCGTGTCCGGTCCTCCCCTGTGGTGGCAACAGCAGCAACGTCCTATCCAGACTATTCCAGGGCCTGATTCTGGCTCTGATCCCAGCCAGCTCAGCCTCCTGGAATTCCTGCCCCAGTTCTGAGTGCAGTTCTCCAACCTTCCATAAACTCCGTGAACTACCCAAGATCTTGCCAATAAATCCCTTCTCAGTTTGAGTTCACCAGAGGTGGTTTCTGGTTATCTGCCACCCAAGAACTTTGACCAGTAGAAGATGGGAGGGAGAAGTCTCCAAGATTTCATCTGAAGAAGAGAATCTTCATTCCTGTCTCCTGACATGAGGCTGACCAGATCTGAATCCCAAGTGGCTTGGCAGTGGTTGTGTCTCTACAACCTTAAGTGCTCAGAGCCTGAGAAGTGAGGATGCATCCATGAAACTACACAAACTGAGCTTGACCAGAACACTGAAAGCTTTGAAAATCATAGTCTAGTCCCTGCTGTTTATTTAGAGGTAATAAGGGTCATTACAATCAGATGAGAACTTGAGAGTTTATTTTACATAAAAAACCTCTAACACTTAATATTTATTTAAAAACTAAGCTGTAAAGAGCCTGATTTGGTTGAGTACATGATGGCATGACTTTGGAATGTCTCTTACAAGTCCCCCCTCCAAATGAGCCAGGCACCGTTGGGTAAAAGCCAAAAGGACGAACAGTGTACCATCTAGTGGCAAAATCAGACAACTACAAGTGGGCAGTTAATTCCCTTAGTGAGTTGCAGGAGCCTATGCAGTGTTACAGCTTGGGTGTGCCAGCGGGGGGTCAAACCGCCATTCCACGC